TATAAACACTTGTATTGGTACACTGCGCGCAAGATAGCAGCCTCTGCTGCATAAAAGAATTTGGTGTTTGAAGAAGAAAAAGAAGGAATGCTGAATAATTCCTGCCCGGGCTGAAGGTATTAGCTGATAAATCCTCTGGCGGCCTCTGAAGGGCCCAGCGTATTATTACTGTTATTCTGGTTGTCACCTAAAGTTCCGCATCTGCGGAAGTTTTATTAAATATTTATTCGGATAATATCCACGAGGGAGAATTGTAACAGTTTCTTAGCAAATTCATTGCTTTGAATAGCACAGTGGTCATCTTTCCGATCAGTTCTCAGCAAATTTATCTTCCTTGATGATTCGAAAATTAAACGCCTGGTCAGCACGCTATTCTCATAAAAAGCATTTCCTCATAATTGACATATAATGATTCTCCGTATCTTGAGTTAGCTCTCTCTTCTTTCATTCCTCTCTCACCCTGTTTGTTCTTTCTGTTTTCTCTTTCTTTCGCTTATCCGTCTTGCAAATTAGTTACATGACTGTTCATGGCGGGTAGGAGGCTGTACTGATGATTCCCGCCTCTACCCTTACGCATATTTAAGTCTATGTTTACAGCTAAGAGATGAGACACAGACTGCGTCATAAAATGTCTTCTTGTACATGACACTTAAGTCCAATCATTCTATTCTACTATTTTAAAACAGCACAATGGTCATCTCTTAGATTGTGAGTGGCTCTTTAAATTTTGGCATTTGAAATGCGAAAAATGTTTCCTTAAACTTTCATACTATTAACCATCCCACGTATATTTCTTCGGGGCACAAGGAGGAAGGCGGGAGGAGGGGCGGGGGAAAGGAGAAGGTGATGCACGCCGTTTTACCGCAACGAAGGAAAAATCGTTCGGCATAATACTTCTAGCATTTCTGAGTAAAAAAAAAGCAATCAAAAAAGCGATCAGTAAATTGGCCACTACCAAAAGGGATGAAACCTCAAATTCCTCGGGGGAAAAAAAAGAAAGCAAAAAAGCGATTTTAAAATCCATCAGCAGCCTGATCAGAGGGATATCATGGGATATCTCCACCCCCTCTCCCCTCCTTCTTCAAAATGATATCCTCCCAAATCCCTTGAAGAGAAAAAGCGGACAAGTGGATCTAAGAAATCACCGTCAGGCCAGATCACTACGGCAGGAAATAGCATTTCAAAACCCTGCCAAATCTCTGAGATCTATTTTTCATTGAAACAAGGTTTAACGGGCCGTTAAATATCGGGGTTTCAAATTTTGCTCGTGTCGGGGGGACTTTGTACGCTTTTCGGGGTGGTTGGTGGCGTTTTTCGCAAATTGTGAGGGGAGGGGCGGTGGGCGGGGTTTCCCGTACTGGAGAAGTAAGAAGTGAGGGGAGGGAGTACTGGAGTTTTGGGGAGGGGGAGGGGCAGAAGCATAGTCAGGATGTTGAATTTTGATTCACACTTTTCCATGGGCGGTTCCAGGGCCGGACTCCTAGAGGGCGGGGGGGGGCGGGGTTTCCTCACTCCGGTGCTCGTCCCCCAGGAGCTTTACTACCTCCTCCCCTCCTTCATCGTCCCATCAGTATGCCCATTTCCCCCTCCTCCTCCCCGCTCGTCGCTCCTCCCCGCCCCGCCCCCTCCTCAAGAGGCCGCCCTCGATCCACTCCCAAGTGGCCAAATAAATGATGGTTTGGCTCACTTCATTCCCCCCTCCTCCTTCGTCGCCCTCTCTTCCCCCCCCCCCTTCGCCGTGCTCAGGAGGGCCGGCCTCCCCCCACCCCTCCTGCTCAGGAGGCCGCCCTCGATCCATTCCCAAGTGGCCAAGTAAGTGATGGTTTTGCCTAAAATTACAGGTTGTCTAATTTATGGAATGGACAAGAAACGAAAACAGTTCGGGACGCGTTATTTAACCGATGAATCGGAAGTTTTCATGCATAATGCATGGGATGATGTGCGCTGGAATTCGGAGCAAGAAGCCGAAGCGCATCGTCGAATCGTGGGACAGAAGCAAGCCATCGTTACAGTGGAAGAAGCCGAAATGCTGCGCAAAAACCCAGCGGAACAATGGGAAATTTTCTACCGAAAGCATAGCAATAAATTTTTTATGAATCGAAATTGGCTCCTGACAGAGTTTCCCGAACTGAATGTTGAGCAGAGGGTTAGAAAAATTAATATTTTTGTAAAAATTTAGCTAATTTTTATTTAATTTTGGCGCAAAAGATTAATAAAAAAATATTTAGTTAAGTTAATATTTTTTTGAATTAACTTTTTGCGAAAAAAAACATACACCACACACACACCCATACATACGCACACAGACAACCTCTCATCCGTATGCGCTTTAAGAAATATGAGTTAATATTTTTTTAAATTAACTTTTTGCGAAAAAAAAAACATACACACGTGCACAGACACGCACACAAACACGCATACACATACACACCCACAGACACACACACGCACACAACCTCTCGTCAGTATGCATTTTCTGCATTACATAGCTACAAAAAACGCTTAAAAATAACATGCCAGGCGGATAAATCAATGAAACACAGTTGCTGTAATACAGACTGTATAAAAACGCTGTCTGTATTTGTTGGTATCAGCATGTGAAAGCTATTGAAATACCTAGTAAGATTGTTTAAAA